GAGGAAGAGGAGAAGGAAGAGCTGAGAGGAGTCCTGCATGCATCAGCCGCCTGGTTTCAGAGTGTGGCTCCACCAAAGTGGCCCAGGTCTCCGCCTCTGATGCGCACCGGGCTGTACGCTGTACTCCCCTTCCACGAGGTCGCGTAACTTGCTTCGGTCAGCGAGCGGAGCGGTGGCAGCGGTGATGTTGCCGGGGAGACGTCCAGATCTGTGTGTTCCTTCCCCGTGTCACTCACAGAAGCTCCTGCTGTGGCAGAGGATGGATCGCATCGGGTCACATCGGCCTCGGTGCCCCTGAGGGTGCTGTGGAGCAGAGCCCCTGCCGATTTGAGACGATGGAGGTTATGAGAGCGAAGCCTCTGCTGTTTCCACACAGACGCTAGCAGCCATCCCCGACTGGCTCCATGTGCCTTGGACAAAGTACCCCGCGGTCATCCACGTCTTCTGGCAAGCGGGACTCTGCACACCTCTCGGCTGTGGTCAGAACCACGCGGGCCGACGCATGGAAAGGGCGTGCTCGGCAGGCAGCAGGGACTCAGTGTTACTCTCCCTGTTTTCCCAGGGACAGGACACACTGTCCGGGTGTGCAGCATCCCACAGCGTGGTGTGGTATTGTGTTTATATTTGGATGTCTGTGCCCTGACTGCGTCGGGTCTAAGCAGGAAAGGCTGTGGAGGCAGAGAGCGTCTCACCTCTTTCTCTCTTGGAGTGGCTATGGGGAGGGGGCGGTGTCCGACAGGGAGGTGCAGAATTGGCGCCCTCGGGCCGGGGATTTAGCTCAGTGGTTTCCTTGCCTGCTGTGCACGCGCAAGGACCCGAGTTCGCTCCCCGGTACCAAAAAATAAAAATAAAAAAAAATTGGCGCCCTTAGAGCCCGTTCAGGACCCTGGATCCCCGTATATGGTTCAGACTAGCCTTAAACTCACTATGTATTCTAGGCTGGCCTGGAACTCATGGTGATCCTCCTACCTCAGCCTCCCAAGTGCTAGGATTACAATCATGGGCCACCACACCCGGCTCTAGATGGCAAAATTTTTTCCTGCTCTATAAATTGTCTCTTCACTCTGTTGATTGTTTATTTTGTTGTGCAGAAGCTTTTTAACTTGATGTAATCCCATTTTCTGATTCTTGGTATTATTTCCTGAACTCATGTCATGTGCAGGAAAATGGATGGATCTTGAGCCCAAAATGTTGAGTGAAATAAGCCAGAAATGGAAAGTTAAATATCTCATGGTTTCTCTTATATGAGAAACTCAAAATGTAAATTAATTAAAGAGTAAAACAAAGGAGCGAGGGTTGGAAACATGGAAGGAGACCTTTTGGAGAAGTGGAAAGCGATCAGAGGAAGGAGGAAAAGGGAGGTCATTAAAGGGATTGAAAATAGTGTTCCAGAAAACAAATGTAACCACTGTGTACTGAAAGCATACATTTGTCAAAAAACATGGTGTCGACTGCGCACCCTCCTGGCCCCAAGGCCCCACTGCTGCTAGGACAGCAAGTCTCCAGGGCATCGGACCAGCGCCACCTGCCCTCTTCCTGGGGCACCAGAGTGCCGTTTACCATGTGTGCCCCAGGTGAACTGTCTTGGATGAGTTGGCCCTCAGTATGTTGGTCGTGGTATTTTATGGAATCATGGAACTACAGGTTAGGTCTAAACCTTCCAGAGGGTCCTTGAGGGCTTCAGGCCACCTTCCCTGAGGCCCAGGTACTGCTGGAGGTGTGGTTTCTAACCTGGTCACTGCAGTGAGAGAACTCTCTCCAGATAGGAGGGGAAGGTGTCCCAAGAACAGCGTCAGTAGTGAAAGCTGAGGTTGACTGAACATGGGCTCTGGCCAGGTTCTTTGCACATAGTACATTAGTGAAGACTTGGGGTGTGATTTCAAATGACATTAACTTCAGGGCTCAGCTTGCCCCAATTTTAACTGGGCTCCAACACCTCTCTTCTCTGAGGTCTCTGTAGGAACTGTCCCCAGTGAGGAAAAATTGCAAAGTAGGAAACCAGACACCACGCCGTCACGTGCCGTGAAGCCAGTCAGCATCTCTCCTCATCCAGCATGGAGCTGTACGTCTGACCTGGCAGACGGGGCTCAGGTGAGAGGTCTAAAGGGGGTCCCTGATCCAAAGCTTCCTAAAATGCTCAGAAAGACTAGTGAGGAGACTGAAAAAAGGGCAATATGCCCACATTGACCCATGCAAGCAGCCATGGATAAATTCACCAGCCTGGAAAATGGTGGCTGGAAGGGGAGGAGTTCCAGACAAGGAAGTTAAATATGGGATCCTCTGATAGCCAGCAGGCCTGGTGGTAAATAATGTGGTCTGTCTATCGCTTCTCTTTTCCTTCCTTCCTTCCTCCCTCCCTCCCTCGCTCCCTCCATCTCTCTTTCTCTCTGTCTCTCCTTTTTCTTTCAGTACTGAGGATTGAACCCATGGTCTCTGCACTGAGTTATCTCCTCAGCCAATTTTGATTTTTACTTTGAGACAGGGTCTCTATTAGGTAACTAAATTGCCCAGGCTGGCCTTAAACTTTCGATCCTCCTGCCTCAACCTTTCAGTGAGCTGGGGTTACAGGCATGTGACCCACATCTGTCTCATTTTCTTGTCTTGAAACGGGATCATTAGAGGAGTGATTCTGCCCCAGGGAGAGGAGAATGAGGTAGCAGGTTAGGTATAGAGTCTGAATCCCCTCAACTATGCACAGTGCAGTCTAGAGGAGTCTATCGGCTTCCTCTTTGGCAGATGTCCATGCAAACGTTCCCTGAGCCTCACATTCTCTCTGTCTCCTGCCTGGAGCACTCCCCGGCTGGCCTGATGCTTGTTTTCTCACTCCAGTCTTGGTTGGATTAGGAGCGTCACCTTCTCCCCGAGCTCCATCTGGAGCTCCACTTGGAAACGCGGTCTTTGCAGATGTCCTTAGTATATGATGAGGTTATGCTGAAGACCTGCTGTCTGTGCACTTGAGGAAGAGACTCGGAGAGAGGGAGGGAGGCCAGGGACAGCAGAGGCAGACTGCAGTCGTGCAGCCGCGCCCAAGGAACCGCAGGATCTCCAGCAACAGGAGACAGGAGAGGACAGTGGGGCTCTCCACCCTTCCAGAATGAGCGCTGCTGACACTTGAGTTTGAACTTGTGGCCTCCTAACCTATTAAAGAATAGATTTCTCTTGTTTTCAGCCACTCAGTTCATGGTGCTTTTTATAGCAGCCCCAGAAAAAACTAAGATAGACTTGGAATGAAAGGTTCTTTTGGTGAGAAGCACGAGCAGTGCCCTGCCTCCCCTCCTCAGCCTGACTTGTCCAGTAGCAGGCGCTCTTCTTGCTTCTTGTCTGTCTCCTCTGTAGCATGTGAGCCCCGTGAGTTAGGGCTTTCTCTCTGTTTTCTTTACCTCTGTGTCTCCCATCTTCTGGACTATTGTGTGGAAGACAGAATGTGGCATCATTTGTCCTTTCTGTGGGGTTGTTGGAAGCAAAAGAAACAACCCGAACTTCCTGTCACTCGAGCAGGAGTAATTTAAACTAAAAAAAGGTGCTTTTTACCAGGGATGTGCTGTGCACCAGTAGAGTTCCCTCATGTGGTGGCCTGGGCAGATGGCCTAGTCACCCTTTGTAACCATTGTGCAGTGTTTCATGGGGTCAGGCCCAGAGATGCAGCCAAGGGGGAAACTCGGAGGCTTTGTCTTTAGTGCTGGCCTCGAGACGCCCCAGCTTCTTTATTTAAGTGGCTCTGGATTTCTTCGAAGCCAGATGGCAGGGGTGAAAACTATCTGGAGCAGCACAGCACCGAGGGGACAGTTGCTTTGCCCAGTCTGACTGAGGAAAGGACAATCATTCAGCTCCTGCCTGGGCTCCAGGGAGCAGCAAGTGCCTGGGATTGGCGGTTGGCTCACAGAAGGCCTGGAGCCTGCAAGGCTGGGCAGGGAAGTTTGTCAGGGTCCTGAGACTGTGCCAGGAGAAAGGGGCGCTGACTCGATCCCTCAAAATTCCAGGCAAGGGTCTTGAAGCCAAGCAGAGCAGATACAGGAAACGAGAGGAGAGGCGAGGGAAGAGAGCTGTGCATTCTGACACCCCGACAACAGTTTCTGCTACTGTGTCCCCTGCAGTTGGCGACAACTGGGACGCCTCTGTCTCCTGGTGTGGGCACTGTCTTCAGCACCACATCGAATGCTTAGCCCTGCCAGGGTAACGCCCTCACTCCACAGTAGAGAAGGCTGGCGCCAGAGTGGGTCAGCGGAGTGCTCAGTGGCATGGTGGTCCATGTGCCAACCAGCTGCCCACGGTGCCACGTGGGTTCCTGAGCTGGGGCTCAGCGGGTCCTGGAGCTGTGATCACGGGCTGTATTCCTTTCAGGAAAGGGCTTTCCGAAGGGTGTGGTCTGGAACCCGACCTTCTCTGAGTCCTGTCTGCGGATGGCTGGGAAGGCAGGGTGGGGTGGGTCCACTCAAACTTTGTCACAGATGTCGCCTGCCTGCCTGCAAGTGCCTTTGTCTGGAGAAAAGATTATTAAAGAGCTTTAAATTCCCCACAGAACACAGCGAGATGTGTGTGAGATGCACATGGCCCTGCGGTTGTTTGTCTCATGTATCTTTAACTGTATTTGGTTATTTTTGTTGTTACAATCAAGGCGTTCTTTTTCTTCTCCCAAATTAGAACTACCTGAAATGATTTAAGCAGATGATCAAATTTTGCTTGGAAAATGTAATCACGCAAAATAAATGTATTTTAGGAAGCTGTTATTTCTTTTAAAAATGTAGTGAAAAATCTAAACCATTAAAGTCATTTCAGAGCAAAAATGACCTAAAAGGACTTTATACATTTTGGTAGATTGGGGGGGTCATTTTGTAAACATTAATGCAATGTATCCCTGAGAGATTGATTTTGGACAACAAGCTACCATCAAGCTAGAGTTGAGTGGTGGTCAGGTTTGAGCAATATATTAATTAATGATTCTCACATAAGTCTAAGATCAAAATGGCAAGTCACTTAGTTGGGCCAATTGGCGTGTAGTCTGAGGCAGAGGACCGAGGAATGCAATCTTACCTGTTTTCAATTTCTTTTGTCTCCAAAGGCTTAATTTGCAAACAGGGAGAGGGAGGTGGGGGGTGGAGGAGGAGGAGGAAGAGAGGGAGAGAGAGGAAGAGAGAGGAAGAGACGGGGGGGGGGAGAGGAAGAGGAGAAGGAAGAGCTGAGAGGAGTCCTGCATGCATCAGCCGCCTGGTTTCAGAGTGTGGCTCCACCAAAGTGGCCCAGGTCTCCGCCTCTGATGCGCACCGGGCTGTACGCTGTACTCCCCTTCCACGAGGTCGCGTAACTTGCTTCGGTCAGCGAGCGGAGCGGTGGCAGCGGTGATGTTGCCGGGGAGACGTCCAGATCTGTGTGTTCCTTCCCCGTGTCACTCACAGAAGCTCCTGCTGTGGCAGAGGATGGATCGCATCGGGTCACATCGGCCTCGGTGCCCCTGAGGGTGCTGTGGAGCAGAGCCCCTGCCGATTTGAGACGATGGAGGTTATGAGAGCGAAGCCTCTGCTGTTTCCACACAGACGCTAGCAGCCATCCCCGACTGGCTCCATGTGCCTTGGACAAAGTACCCCGCGGTCATCCACGTCTTCTGGCAAGCGGGACTCTGCACACCTCTCGGCTGTGGTCAGAACCACGCGGGCCGACGCATGGAAAGGGCGTGCTCGGCAGGCAGCAGGGACTCAGTGTTACTCTCCCTGTTTTCCCAGGGACAGGACACACTGTCCGGGTGTGCAGCATCCCACAGCGTGGTGTGGTATTGTGTTTATATTTGGATGTCTGTGCCCTGACTGCGTCGGGTCTAAGCAGGAAAGGCTGTGGAGGCAGAGAGCGTCTCACCTCTTTCTCTCTTGGAGTGGCTATGGGGAGGGGGCGGTGTCCGACAGGGAGGTGCAGAATTGGCGCCCTCGGGCCGGGGATTTAGCTCAGTGGTTTCCTTGCCTGCTGTGCACGCGCAAGGACCCGAGTTCGCTCCCCGGTACCAAAAAAAAAAAATAAAAAAAAATTGGCGCCCTTAGAGCCCGTTCAGGACCCTGGATCCCCGTGCACTTGAGTGGCCAGGTTTCACCCACCCTTTTCACTAAGGGCCTTCTGCACACGTTGCCACGAAATGTACTGGGGCTGGCACCATGGGGCCATCTGGATTTTTAGTCTCTAAGCAGCAGAAACAAAGACTGGGTAAATTAAGCAGCAAGGCAATTTAGGAAAATTTATAAGTCCAAAATATCTCAAAGCTCACAGAGACCCCAGGAAGGCAGTGCCAGGCTTGAAGACCTCGTGGTCAGGGACTCTGAGGACCCCATCCTGAAGCAAGCTCTCGGCTGGAGAGGTCGCCTCTGCTCGGCACAGCCGCCCGGACTGACCCACTGTGCCACGGGGCAGAGCCAGGCTGCAGTCACTGTGGAACTCGCTGCAGCTCCACCTTTGCTTCCGTCCTCCCAAGGTGCTCTCGGCGAGGCCACTGCTTCCGGTTGTCAGTTTCCATGAAGGGAGAGGACTCTGCCTCACGGGAAAGGGATTTCTTCCCTTTCTTCCAAACTTCCTACCCAGTGCAGGTGGCTCCTAGGGCTCCGGGCCCAGACCTGGGCCTTGGGATCCCATCATCCCATGATGCCTCCCGCCGTGTCCTGCAGACACGCTGAGCGCACCTCAGTTGCCTAGTTCCCTGTGCCCAGACATGGATTCCTCGACGTCAGGTCACCTGTGTCTCGAGCCTTCGCCCAGTGCCTGCGATCTTACCGCCCAAGAAACGGGCGGGGACCAAATGCACCTGCCAGGAAGGTGAGGGCTGCGTGCTGACGTCATGCGGGGCTGCGTGCACACTGGGAAGCTGCGCTTGTGGCAGGAGCACGGTGGGAAGCTTCGCCTGTGCCCCTGGTGCCCCTCTCATGGCTTGGGGCCACCATCGTACCTCAGAACTTTCCGTTTTCCCAGCTTTGGGAGGTCAGAATCGGGGACTCCCAGGAAGCCTCCAGCCCCTCTGCCCGGGGTGACGTGGCCCCGTCTTACTGGGGCCGCTGGGCCACACCAGCAGTCACTGGCCGGGAACAGCAGAGCTCGTGTCTCGCAGCCCAGGACCCAGACGTCTACAGCAGGCTGGGTGGCTCGGTGGCCTCAGGACTGCGTGGCCTAGGACCATGGCCACTCCTGGTGACCCCGGTGCTCTGGGCTTGTGGCTGTCACTGCGGTCTCACGGGCCTTCTCGCTTCTCCCTTGTTCTGCCTTCCCTGGGATTCCTCACTGGATTTAGACGATTGATCGCATCTTGAGGTTGTTAATCTCAGCCGCTGAGACCCCTGTTCTCAGTGAGGCCACTCACGGTTCTGAGTGGGGGCCGCCGGCCTGGCCGCCGCCTCCGTCCTTCAGGATGAGCTGGAGAGGCCTGAGCCGTGGAGGCCCTGTCCTCTGTCCCTGTGCCCCTGGGGGCTTCCAGGCCTTCAGCGCCGCCCCTCCGCGGGCAGGTGCAACTCTGAAAGCGCTAGCCGCGTGGGGTGTCGCCTGCACGCCTGGAATCCAGCCCTGTGGGAGGCTGAGCAGGCAGGAGGACAGCAAGTCTGCGGTCAGCCTGGGCAGCTGGCTGACTCGGCCCCACCCTGTCTCACGAGAAAGGGGAGGGCTGAAAATACCGTTCAGCGTGGGGGCCCCGGGCTCATCCCCAGGGGCAGACGGGGAGGGAGCAGGATGGCCCAGCCCTGCACTCTGTCACCATGGGTTCCCTGCTGCCGGCAGCGCTGAACTCGCGGGCTGTCACGGGCCTGTGACCAGGCTGCCTTCCACCTTATTCCTGGGCTGGACCAACCCAGACCTGTCCCCGCCTGCGGCCATCTTTGACACAGATGGCTGATGTGCTGGTGGGAACAGCTGGGGAAGGAAAGCCAGCCCCTGCAGACAGGAGATCAACCGAGATTGGTCCAAATCAGTGTAACAGTCTCATCCCTGTGCTCCTTAATTGTCCTAGGAGTAGCCATGTGATCCAGTTCTGGCCAATAAGATAACAAGGGAAGTGTGCTGGGGAGAGAGCCACTTCCCAAAGGAAAGACGAAGCCTTGTAAGGAATGGGCTTTTCCCTCTCCTCTTCTCTTGCCAGGAACTTGATGATGATGTCTGGAGGTGCTGCAGCCATGTTGTGACCATGAGTATTAATTGTCCAACTGTCAGTCAAGGGTAGTGATATTGAAAACAGAGCTAGGGCCTTGATGCTGCTAAGCAGCTGAACAGAGTCAGCAACCTCTGGATCCCTTGTTACCTGACAGAAAGTTGTCTGTATTTGTTATTCTAAATTAGGCTGTTGGTTATTTGCAGCTAACAGTATTTCTAAAGGATATAGGTTAGAAAATAAGGAATTATAGCACACATATAGACCACTGAAAGGATTTATATCTCTCAGCATTTATATTCTCAGTTCTGGAGGCCGGAAGTCCAAGATCAAAGAGGTGGCAAATTTGGTTTCTGGTTAAGGCTGTCTGCCTGGTGTGTAGGTGGCCACCTTCTTACATCGTCTTTCTTCACACACGAACTTTTCCCTAGTGTGTGGTGTGTGTGTGTGTGTATGTGTGTGCGTGTATGAGAGAGAGAGAGAGAGAGAGAGAGAGAGAGAGAGAGAGAGAGAGAGACAGCGAGCCAGTAGGTCCTCCCTTCCTGAAGGGCACCAATCCTATGAGATTACGGCCCCACCCAGTCACCTCAATCTAACCCTATCACCTCCCAAGAGCCTGTCTCTAACATAGTCACACTG